TTACACATGTAACCTAACACCACCTGTTCCCTAATAATCTATGGAAATTAAAAAAAAAAAAAGAAGTACTTTTATCCACTCATTCCATGATTTCAGTGGGTGACACAGAAAGTGCTTGTTCATTCAGCATATAGTCCTAGAGCACCTGCTTTGTGAATATAGGGGTGTGTGGAAGATACAGTCCTGCCCTTAAGTTGTTTGTGGTTATTCAGGTAGAGAGACAAGTAAACAGGTGTTCAGAATCAAACTCAGCATAGTCTGCTGTAGGACTACACAGCAGGGCATGTAACCCTCTTTCTTGTGGGGGCAGGGTGGGGAGGATGGGAGGGCCATGGGGCTTCCCAGGGGAAAGGATGTCAGGCTGAAATCTTAAGGGAAGAATATTCTAAGCACAGGGAATAGCATGTGCAAAAATCCGGAGACCAGAGAGTAAAGTGCAGTTGGGAAGCTTGCAAATACACTATAGTTTGGCCTCTGTATAGAATGTGAACTGAAGGGTAGAGAGGTCATGGTAGAGGGAGAGGGGAAGGAGGAGCAGCACAGATGGGGCAGGGCCTTTGTATACCATGTGAGAAAGTTTGGACTTTATTCTAGGGGGCAACCAGAGAGCTTTGAGGGTTTGGGGAAGGGCTCCACTTACCTCTCCAGCTGCTGCTGCTTTTCCCTTTCTCTGCCACCAGTCACGCTCACTTCTTGTAGTTCCTGCCACGGCCACAATCTTTCTTGCCTCAGGCCTTTGCACTTTTGTCTGGAATGTACCATAAAGATTATTCTGGTTGCAGTGTGTTAACTAGATTAGAGTAGGGTAAGCCTAGAAATGGAGACAGAATAGGAGTCTGATGCAGTGGTCTAAGTGAAAGGAGACGGTGACCCAAACTGGGGAAGTGGCAGTGTGAACAGAGAGGCAAGGGCAGATGTATGTGATATTGTAGGAGGTAGAATTGACAGTGTCACAGTTGGCAAGTCATTGCCTTGGGGGTCAAGTTTGATACCTTAGGCCATTGAAATTCAAATGGGATAGAAGGGCAGTAGGCTGTGGTCTGATTCCCATTGATCTACTTCATGATGTGTTTCAAGACCTCACTGTCCCATTGGAACACAAACCACCTGGATTTGCTCAACAAATTAATAAAGCTTAGAGGTTCCAGCTGCATTAATGCAAGCCATGGCCTTGTTTATGTCTAACCTTAACATATGATTACATGCCTTAGGCTCTCTGTAAACTAATACGTAATAACATGCTTACTTATAAGCATAATGGAATGAATGAGACAAAAATCAGAGTAAATGGCCAAGATGATCATCATCAAGTAGCTCTTATTAAGAACCATTAAATGCCTGGCTCAGGTTTCCATGCACAAGATCCCTTTAACAAACTCAGTTTATTTCATATGCTCTTGACTAGAGAAGCTTGACTCACTGCAGTTGTTTAAACCCTAAAACCCAGACATTCCCAAGCCAACCCCCGCCACCCGAACCCTGGACTCCCACTGTGTAGAGCTTTTCTGTTTATATTTGCTACTATAGAGATTTAGTTTGTTTCCGAAGGATGCATTTTAACTTTTGTGTGGTAAGCCACATTTGTTATATTTGAACCATGTGTGACGCAAGGGAGAAAGGTAAGCATTTGGCTTAGAGGGGGAAGGGTGAATCTTTAGGTTAACGGAGGTACTTCCTGCCAATTTAAAATGAGCTGGTTAAAATGTGTGTGTGTGTGTGTGTACATGTACACATACACATGAATATATTTTTATATGCCCAAAAAACTAATGTGGATATAAAGCTTATTAAACGGCACCGTGCTGTTTTCTAGTCTGAAACATCAAGGAAAAAAAATGCTATCTCAGAGTCTATATGGCTGTCACTTTGGAATTATATGATATATAACTCTTAGCTGACCTAGAAGTGCTTCTGAGACCAGGCCTCATGTGTGTTTTTTTAATATATTCAGTTATATAAACCATGAGGAACAAATGGAGAAAAGGAAAGGACTTCGGCTGATAGATGGAAAACTAAGGTCCACAGAGATTCACTCTCCGTGACCCATGATGAATTAATTTCTTTACTCAATAAAGCTATAAGCTATATTTAGTATTATAAGGCATATTAATGATCTATTACTGCCTAACAAATTACCTCAAAACTTAGTGGCTTAAAACAACACACATTTATTATCTCATACATCCCATGGGTCAGGAAATCTGGGGTATGACGTAGCAAGATCCTGCTTCAAGGTCTCTCACAAAGCTGCAATCCAGGTGTCTGCCAGGGCTGGAGTCTCATCTGAAGGCTCAACTGAAAGATCCACTTGCAACCGCACATAGTTATTGGTAGGATTTAGTTATTTGTGGACCATTGAGTGAAATTCTGTTTCTTGCTGAATGTCGGCTGAAGGCCACCCTCAGTTCCTTACCACACAGCCTCTGGCATGATATTGCTTCATAGAAATATATAAAGTGAGAAAACAATAGAAGTCTGCAGGCAAGATGAAGTCATAATCTTTTGTAACCTAATCCCAGAAGTGACATCCCATCAACTTTGCCACATTCTACTGGTCAGAAGCACATCAGCAGTCCAGCCCACACTCAGGGGGAGGAGATTATAAAAAGGCATGAATACCAGGAAGGGGGGATCTTTCTTTTTTTTTTTGAGACGGAGTTTCGCTCTTGTTACCCAGGCTGGAGTGCAATGGCGCGATCTCGGCTCACCGCAACCTCCGCCTCCTGGGTTCAGGCAATTCTCCTGCCTCAGCCTCCTGCGTAGCTGGGATTACAGGCACGCGCCACCATGCCCAGCTAATTTTTTGTATTTTTAGTAGAGACAAGGTTTCACCATGTTGACCAGGATGGTCTCGATCTCTTGACCTCGTGATCCACCCGCCTCTGCCTCCCAAAGTGCTGGGATTACAGGCTTGAGCCACCGCGCCCGGCCGGGGGGATCTTTCTTAGGCAGTTCAGGCTGCTGTAACAAAATACCATAGAGTGGGTGGCTTAAACAACAGACATCTATTTCTCACAGTTCTGGTGGCTGGGAAGTCCAAGGTCAAGGTGCTGGTGGCTCAGTGCCTGGTGAGGACTTTCTTTCTGGTTTGCTGAGGGCTACCTTCTTGCTGCAGAGTGAGAGAGGGTTCTGGTCTCTTCCTCATATGAGGGCAGTGATCCTATCATGGGGGCTCAACCCTCATAACCTCATCTAAACCTAATGACCTCTCAAAGTCCTCACTTCCAAATACCTTCATACTGGGAATTCAGGCTTCAGTATATTAATTTTAGGGAACATTCGGGGAAAAATCTTTTCCCATACATTCATACACTTCTCTTCTGACACCAAATGGATGGATTTGTCTTAAACCAGACAATTCTCCAAGTCTCCAGACACCACCTGGGAGTCCTACAATTAAGTTATGTCATTACCTAACTCAGTCCCACAAGATTGCCCCCCACTTCAGTTGCGAATTACAAGGAGTGGGCCCCAACTTAGCTGCCAAGTGGGAGTTCCCACAACCTCCTCCTCTGGTTTGATAATTTGCTATAATAGCTCACAAAACATAGGGAAACACTTATACTTACCAGTTTATTATAAAGAATGTAGGTTTGGCTGGGCATGGTGGCTCATACCTGTAATCCCAGCACTTTGGGAGGCTGAGGCAGGAGGATCTCTTGAGCCTAGGAATTCGAGACCAGCCTGAGCAACATAGTAAGACCCCATCTCAATTCAATAATAAAAAAATTAAAAGGCTATAGATGAACTGCAGATGAAGAGATATATAGGATGAGGTCAGGAAGGATCCTGTACACAGGAGCTTCTGTTCTTGTGGAGTTCACCATACCTGGCACAGATGTGTGTTCACCAACCCAGAAACTCTACGAACTGTATCTTTTAGGAATTTTAATGATGGCTTCATTACCTAGGCATGATTGATTATTAACTGAATTTCTAGACTCTCTCTCTTCCCTAGAGGATGTGGGGGTGTGGGACTGAAAGTTCCAAGCTTTTAATCATGGCTTGATCTTTCTCTTGACCAACCCGCATCCTGAAGCTATTGAGGAGCCTACCAAAAGTTGCCTCATTGGAACGAGAGATGCTCTGGTCACCCAGAAAGTTCCCAGAGAGTTGCTCTGTGCCAGGGCAGAGACCAGGTGTCACAGGGGTATGCAAACATCTAGTGCATAGCAGAATCATTGAAGCCCAGTTTTGAAAGGTGTCTCCCAGCTTTGGTGCATATAATTTAGCTTTCTTTGTTCTCAGCTACAGCTTTTTCTACTAGACCAAACCAACTGATGTGTGGCTGTGAAACATTAATATGCTCGGTGTGGTGGGCTGAAGAATGGCCCTCCAAAGATGTTCCCTTGAGCCTCCAAAGATTATCCCCTTGAGCCTCCAGGAGGACCTTGGCTTTGCTACCTAACACCTTGAGTTGAGCTCCATAAACCCCACTTAATACTCCTGACCTCCAGAACTGAAAAATAATAAATTTATGTTATTTTAAGCCACTAGGTTTGTGGTAATTTGTCCCAGCAGCATTAGGAAACTAATATACTCACCAAAAGTCCTTGAGGAAACCCACTTGTGGAATTTTTTAAGGAATTGGGGGCTTACATAGAAGGTATAGGCTAATGGGCTTCTGAGGGCTTTTCGTATCCTCTGGCAACTCTGAAACATAATTTACATTATTGGAGTCTTTCTGTTTTTAGAAAATTGTTCCTAGTTCTCTTCAGTACTAAATCCTATCAATATTAAAGTGTTTTTTGTTTTTTTAAGTATTTGGTTAGTTAAAGAATAGACCTAGGTCTTACCTCCTCTTCAAAATAAAACAAAAACATGGTATTTAGCAGAGGACACTAGGGCTTCCATTTTTAAAGCTGGTTGCTTATTGTTTATTTGTACTTCAGGAGTGGAAATACTGGCTGAGATCAAAGTACTTACCACAAATCGCTTTTCCTTCTTGGTGTTTCACAGCCAGATGTTGTGACATTCTTTTGTTTTTCTTTTTTCCCTAGTGCCCGGAAACCTTGGCTGCTACAAGGATCATGGAAACCCACCTCCTCTAACTGGCACCAGTAAAACTTCCAACAAACTCACCATACAAACTTGCATCAGTTTTTGTCGGAGTCAGAGGTTCAAGGTGATGACTCTGTGGCTATGTAACTATAGAAAAATATAAAGCTATGTATGCATTTTGCTGAGATAACTTAAAAATAAGTGCTAAATAAAATAAGCCAGATGCAAAAGGCCACATATTGTAGGATTCCACTTAAATGAAGTGTCTGGAATAGGCAAATCCATAGAGATAGAAAGTAGGTTAGTGGTTGCCAGATGGTGGGAGGCGGGAGGAGTTGGTACTAACTACTAATCAGTACAGAGTTTCTTTTCGGGGTTATGAGTGTTCTGGAATTAGATGGTGGTGATTGCACAACACAGTGACTATACCAACAACCACTGAAATATACACTGAAACAGTGAATGTTATGTGAATTACATTTCAATTTTTTAAAAAGCTAAAACAACTAAACTTCTAGAAAAATAAAATCCTAAAATATTGGGTTAGACAAAGATTTCTTAAATTGGACACAAATCATTTTTAAAAGTTGGTGAAAATATTATCTTCAAAAAATAGAGTTAAGAATATGAAAGGCAGGCCACAGACCAGGAGAAAGTAGTTGTTAAATATATATCTGATAAAGGACTTGTATTCAGAATATATAAAGAAGGCTTACAGCTCAACAATAAGATAACTTGATCTTTAAAGTGAGTAAAAAATTTGAAGAAATATTTTATCCTCTAAAAATATATAGATGGCTATTAACCACATAAAAAGATGCTCAGCATCACCAGTATGTGTCAGGGAAATACAAATTAAAATCACAATGAGATACCACTGCACACTACTTCAGAATGTCTGAAGAATTGATAAGGATGTGGAGCAACTGAAACTCTCATAAACTGCTAGTAGGAATGTAAAATGCTACAGCCTCTCTGAAGAAAGATCTTAAAGTTTCTTTTAACATTAAATATGCATATACCTTAAAACTCAGCAATATCACACCTGGATAGTTACCCAAGATAAATTAAAACCTGTGTTCACACAAAGACTTATACATGAATGTTCATAGCAGCATTATTCATAATAGCTCCAAACTGTAAATAATCTAAACATCCATTAACTAATGAATGGAGAAACAAAGTATAATATATCCATACTGTGGAATACCACTCAGCAATAAAAAGAAGAGACATATTAAGACATGCTGATACACACCACATGGATGAATCTTTAAAACAGTATGCCAGTTGAAAGAATTTAAACAAGACTACATACTGAACTCAAAATGGATCCTAGTTCTAACTCTAAAATGTAGAACTATAAAACTTCTAGAAGAAAATATAAGAGAAAATCTTCATGACCTGAGTTTAGGCAAAAAGTTCTTACATGAGACACCAAAAGCATGACCCATGATGAGAAAAAATTGGTACATTTTAATTTGGACTTCACCAAAATTTAAAGATCTTGCTCTGTGAAAGATATTTTTAATAGAATGAAAGACAAGCTATAGCCTGGGAGAAAATATTTGCAAATCACATATGTGACAAAGGACTTGTATCCATAATGTGTAAAATTTAAAAAAAAAAAAAAAAGCCAAACAACTCAGTAAAAAAACAAAACAAAACAAACAAAAAAACAAAACAATTTAAAAATGGGCAAAAGACCTGAACAGCTACTTTGCCGGAGAGGATATACAGACGGCAAATGAGCACATGAAAAGGTAGTTGTCTGGGTGTGAGTGGCTCACGCCTGTAATCCCAGCACTTTGGGAGGCCAAGGCAGGAGGGTCACTTGAGGTCAGGAATTCGAGACCAGCCTGGCCAACATGGCAAAACCTTGTCTCTACTAAAAATACAAAAATTAGCTGGGCATGGTAGTGCACCTGTAGTCTCACTCGGGAGGCTGAGGCAGGACAATCGTGTGAACTTGGGAGGTGGAGGTTGCAGTGAGCCAACATCATACCACGGCACTCCAGCCAGGGTGACACAGTGAGACTCCGACTCAAAAAAAAAAAAAAAAGAAAAAGAAAAGATAGTCAACGTCATTAGCCATTAAGGTAATGCTAATTAAAACTGCAATGAGATACTACTACATACCTATTAGAATGGCTAAAATAAAGTATACTGAAAATAACAAGTGCTGACAAGGATACAGAGCAAGTGGGACTTTCATAAATTGTTGGTGTGGATCTAAAGTCATTCTGTCTATAGTCATTCTGGAAAAGTTTGGCACTTTTTTATAAAGTTAAATATATATCTACCACATGACCTAGCAACTCCATTCCTAGTTATTACCCTAGAGAAATGAAAACTTATATTCACATAAAAATCTCTACACAAATGCTTGTAGCAGTTCTATTCATAGTCATGAATAACTAGAAACAGCCCAACAGATAAACAAGCTGTGATACATCCATACAATGAACTCTGCTCAGCAATAAGAAGGAGTAAACTATTGATAAAAACACCAGTTTAGATGAACCTCAAAGACATTATGCTGACTGAAAGAAGCCAGTCTCAGAAAGATTACATACTGTGTGATTCCATATATATGACATTCTCGAAAAGACAAAACTATGATAATGGAAGATGGTTCAGTGGTTGCCAGGGGTTCTGGGGGAAGGGGCCTATAAAGCAATAGTGCAAAGAAAATTAACAGGGTAATGCATCTGTTCGGAATCCCTGATTGTACTGGTGGTTGCACAAATCTTTTTTTTTTTTTTTTTTGAGACAAAGTCTCACTCTGTTGCCCAGGTTGCATGCAATGGAACAATCTCGGCTCACTGCAACATCCACCTCCCGGGTTCAAGAAATTCTGCCTTAGCCTCCTGAGTAGCTGGGATTACAAGTGCCCATCACCATGCCCAGCTAATTTTTATATTTTGTATTTTTAGTAGAGACGGGGTTTCACCTTGCTGGCCAGACTAGTCTCTAACTCCTGACCTCAAGTGATCCGTCTGCTTTGCATTCCCAAAGTGCTGGGATTATGGGCGTAAGCTACCATGCCTGGCTGTGGTTGCACAAATGTATACAAGTGTTAAAATGTACAGAATTATATACCAAAATATTATGTAGTAATATAAAAACCAAATTGTAAAATGGGGCCTTGAGGGTTAGCCATAAAGCACTCACTACCTGGCACATAGTAAACAGTCAATAAAATGTTTAGCTGTTACTCATGTTTGAAGTTTATAAGATTTTCTCCCTCTTAAAACTTACTTAAGTGCAGTAGAAACACAAACATTAAAAAGGGATGCTTGCTGACAGGAAAATACGTTGGTGGTTACGTACTTATTGGTCAGCTTGGAATTAAGTGTTACAAGAGTGGAAGAAGCAGGAGACCCCAGGGGAAGGGTCCCTGGGAAGATGAAGCTGACTGCTGGAAGCCCACCCGGCCAGGCTTCTTCACACCATCTGACATCCCTAATAATGCTTACCATGTGCTGCTTCTCTGTTGTGGCAGTTTGCTGGGATGGAGTCAGGCTATGCTTGCTTCTGTGGAAACAATCCTGATTACTGGAAGTACGGGGAGGCAGCCAGCACCGAATGCAACAGCGTCTGCTTCGGGGATCATACCCAACCATGTGGTGGCGACGGGAGGATCATCCTCTTTGATAGTGAGTATGCCCCGTGCTCATCACTGCCCAAGGCACAGGAACCCTTGGACGAGAGCAAGGAGCCTGCCCACCCTCCCTCCCTTTCATGCATTCATTCATTCACTTGGCAATGGGCAATACTTGTGACTAGATCCTGGGAATATAGCACAATGCATGAAGACTCAGCCCCAGCCTTGTAGAAGGGAGAACAGACACTTAACGAGTGATTAGCTACAGTCATGCCAAATGGTTTGAAGCAACATGGCCTATTGTGTGATGCTTACACAACCTAGAAAATACAACCTTTCCGTAGACACTAATATAACAATTCAGTATCAGCTTTATTATCCACTTGCTTTAATATAATTTCCAAGCCCTTTTTACTTCTTTTTCATTGGCGTTTGGGATTTACATCTTATTGTGATACACCTGAGAAGAGAACATAGCTCTAAGTTGTTTTTCCAGGCCTGGCATTGGGTTTGCCCTGACCCACCTTCTCTCTAAACTGCTGAATTTGTGAGATGTTGGCCAGGGGCCAAGTGTGTTCAGAATGGGAGTGGACCCAGGGTCTTGACCTCGCCAACATCGTGTTGTAACCACTGAGCCAACTGATTCCTCATCATAATCCACCAGCATCCACTCAGTGGCAGTGAGACTTCATTAGAGTTACAGCACTAATGCAGCACCAGATTTCAAGATAGTGGAGGCAGACAAAATAAAAGGCTTGAGATTACCAAGAAATACTCTAGTGTCTGTGGTGTCTTTAGCCTTTAGGCTAGAGGAGGTACACTCCTGAAATCTCAACCAGGTAGTGTGGCTACTTTTGAGCAAAAATGTCATACGGTCTGTTAGTTTCCTAGGGCTGCCGTAACAAATTATCACAAACTGAATGGCTTAAAACAATGAAAATTCATTCTCTGACAGTTCTGGAGGTTAGAAGTCCAAAATCGAGGGGTCAGCAGGGCTGTGCTCTCTCCAAAGTCTCCAAGGAAGCCTTCCTCACTTCTGGTGGTTGTGGGAGATCCTCGGCATTTGTTGGCTGCACCACTCCGATCTCTGCCTTCTCCTTTGCATGGCCATCTTCCCTCTGTGTGTGTCTGTGGTGTATGTCTCTGTGTGTCTCCTTAAAAGGAACCAGTCATTGGATTTAGTATGGCCTCATCCTAACTCAGTTACATAACATTCACAGGGACCAAGTGTTAGGACTTGAACATATCTTTCTCGGGGACACAGTTCAGCCACTATATATGGTGACTGTAAAACCCAGCCCACGTTTATAACTGAGCCTTTTGCATGTTATAGCTCAGACATTGTCTAAAGTGTTTGTATTTGGGGTGGGAAGATGGGGGAAGGATTAATGAACAGAACTCACAGTCATTTGTTTTCTTTTAGCTAAGTGTGCCCATTGGAGATTGCCAGTTGCTTCCTATACAGCCTGTTATGTCCAGACCAATGCTTAGTTTGTTACCTTTGTTTTGGCTAAAGACTGAACTTTGGCTAATGATTAAGGAATTTTGCTAATGCTTAGTTGGCAAATAATTATGCATTACACATTAATTTAACCTTTTATTCTAGAGTTCATTATTGTAAGATTCTCTGCCTTAACACAGTAAGTCAGGACAGTAAGTTTTTCTGAGCTTGCAAAATGCCTGGTATATTCTTAAGTGAAAAGGAAGTAAACATTTCTTGTGTACCTAGTATGTGTGAAGGCTTTCTCTAAATTATCACATTAGGTCCTCTTGGCACCCTTCTGAAGTAGGGGTTATTGTGATTACTTATTTCACAGAAGAGAGCCTTATGACATGGACAGGATAAATAACTTGCTGGGATTCACACTGCCAAGAAGCCACTAGAGAGGTGCTAGAGAGGAAACAGGAGTAGAGTGTGAGGGTTTACTACCTGTTTTTCTACTTTAAATAGAATGCAATGTCAATTTAAAAATGGAAAATGAGTGTTCACAGATATACGGAAAAATTGGAACCCTCATACATTGCTGGTGGGAATGTAAAATAGTGCAGCTGCTTTGGAAAACAGTCTGGCTGACTCAAGAGTTCTAACTTTTTTTTATTATATTAAAAAAAAAGAAAACAGTCTAGCATTTCCTTAAAATGTGAAGCAGAGAATAACTGTGTATCCCAGCAATTCCACTCTTAGGTATATACCTGACAGAACTGAAAACATGTTTCCACAAAAAACATACATACCAATGCTCCTAGCAACATTATTCATAATAGCCAAAAAGCAGCAGCAACCCAAGTGTTCATCAGCTGACGAATGGATAAACAAAGTGGATATCCATTTGATGGAATATTATTCAACCACAAAAATAAATGAAGTACCAATGCATGCTACAACATGGATGAACCTTGAAACCATTATCCTAAATGAAAGAACCAGATGCAAAGGGCTACATATTTTATGATCCCATTTATATGAAATGTCCAGAATAGGCAAATCTACACAACGGAAGCCAGATTACTGGTTGCCAAGGGCTGGGGGAAGGGGAAGAATATGGAGTGACTTTTTAATAGGTACAGATTTTCTTTTCAGGGCGAAGAAATGTTCAGGAATTAGATAGGGATGATGGTTGTACACCATTGTGAATATACTAAATACCACTGATTCATATACAGATAGTCCCCAACTTAAGATAGTCAATTTAGGATCTTTCAGCTTTATGGTGGGTTTATCAGAGAATTAAATGCATTTTTGACTTAAGATATTTTCAATTTACAATGGATTTATCGGGACATAGCCCCATTGTAAGTCATCTGTACTTTAAAATGGTTAAAATGGTAGATTTCAGATCAAGAAAAAATAGAGTATAGGCTTTATATGACAATCTTTCATTTAGCACATTTTCATTGTGCATCTGCTGTGTGGCAGATAAAATTATGTTTTCTTTAGTATAATGCCTTTACTGGGGGTGTCAAGTAGAAATAATTTGGATTAAATTTTAAATGCAGCACTGTAGAAATAATCCCTAAAGTACGTATGAAGCAGCATCTTTGGTACTACTAGGAAATAGTACTGGTCCTCCCATAAAAATGCATTAAAATGAATTAATTACAACAAAAATTATTGCTATTTTTTGAGCGCATGTTGTGTGCTAGACTTGATGCCACGTGCTTTTGTGTATTTCATGTTATTTAATCCTTGTAGCAGCCCTGTTGATAAGAAAACTATGGATCAAAAGATGAAGTCATTTGTCTGTGCTATTAAGTGCCACAGCCAGGATTCAAACCATGGTTTGCCACATTTGAAATTTTTCTATTTTCAGCAGCTAAAATCCCTTATTATTAACAAAGTAAAATAGATTATAATAATGGATCCAGTTTTATGCTTTAAAGGTATATGAATAAAGTATTCCCAGTTCTCATTATTACCACATTGGCCCCTTGTGCAGCTTTCCAGAAGCTGCCCTTTCTGGCCTGCACTTGCTCAAGGACTAAGAAGGCTGGCATTCTGAGAGGCTGCTCACACCATCTTCCAGAGGCCCGGATGTGTGTGGACTACAGGAGCCCTGACAGTAGCCAGTTCTGTAACTCACATGCCATTGCTCTGCTTAGAAAGGTACAAAATGCAGCACTGTGGAAACAGTCTCTAAAGGTGCATCTAGAGGCCGGGCGTGGGTGCGCAGGCCTGTAATTTCAACTACGTGGGAGGCTGAGGCAGGAGAATCTTCAACCTGAGAGGCAGAGGTTGCAGTGAGCTGAAGTCATGCATTGCACTCCAGCCTAGGCGACAGAGTGAGATTTCATCTTTAAAAAAAAAAAAAAAAGGTTCGTCTGGTTGAGAGTAGAATAGTTTGCATAGCTCAAGTACTGCCCCTTATGACTCATTGAACAAGGCTGAGCACTTTGGATGGTGACCACAGACTGTTCCATGATTTGGGAGGGTGAAGACGTCTCCCTAAAGATACTGGCGAAGTTAGATAGTGAGAAATGACCAGGTTACAGTCTATTTCCCAGAATATGAGGCCCCGCTACCAGCGTGTCTCGAATCTGGGTCTCAGTCAGAGTGTCAGCGAGGTCTTCCTGTCCTCTGCTGACTAGAGGAACACCCAGGCTCCTCTGCACTAGAAGCACTCAAGCTCTGTTTACTCTTCAGGAGAGAGGCGATGGGGCTAGCGAGGGTATGGGGTGAGGGGCAGCTGGCAGAAGCTGTCTGCTTGGTCATCATTGCTACATGAAGTAGTTTGTCACAGATTCTCTGGCTGATTTTTCAGCAAGCTCTCATGGACTTGGAGAGGTCACTGAGGTGAGCCGTGTGTTGTGTGTAAACACAACACTGACGGGGGCTTCAAAGCCTCTGTTACCCCTCGGATTATAATTTATTGAATTAACAGAACCAAATAGAAGAACATGTAGGTCAGAGTCAACAGTGGGTCACAGGGACTGCCCAGGCTGGCCTCTTGGGACTCCCTCAGCTTGCAGGCCCTGAAGGGAGGGGTCAGTCATCTGAACTGGGCCTCATTTTGTAGCATTAGTTGAACACTTCTCATTGACAGGGCCTGTGCTATTCAGTTTACCTCCACTGTCTCCCTTATTCTCACAGTACTGTGAAGCAGGTACTGTTATGCTTATTTTACAAATGAGAAAACTGAGGCTCATAAAAGTTCAGTAATTTGCCCAAAGTCCCACAGATAAAGATTCTGTCTTCGGGGAACTTATATTTTATCGGGAAGGGAAAAGATTAATTATGAAAATGATTGAGGGTCTAAGGATGGGTAGGGTCTGGTTCCCAGGACTGTGTTAGCATATTTGTATTTCATAGACTCTAAGATGCCTCAGTTCTGAGGTGCAACATTATTTTATACATCATTAAGGGAAAAAATTTCCAATTTAACAATGACATGCATTGAGTAAAAGATACATCCCAGTTTTAAAGATTAAAACGTATCTGTTAGAATTGATGAAGTATGGTACTAGCTGTCTTTCTTGGCAGCCAAGAAAGGGTGGAATCTTTCTATCCTGAGTGGAATCTGATTCATGGCTGAGACCCATTTGGTTGAGGTTTGT